TGGGAGAACTGTAATGAAAGGAGATGAGGTTGTAGGGCTGACGGCCTGGCTGGACAGACGGCAGAAAAACGGTGCAGTAAGCAGGGCGGCGGGGTCCCCAGCCCCTGCACCCCAGCTCCAGGTGAAGTCAAGCAGAGGTGGCATGCTGTGGACGCTCCCGGCCCCCCAAGTCTCCTGAGCTGTCAGAGGCTGATCTCGTGGCGGCTGTGTGCCAGCGAGCGCTGGGCAGTTCTGGGCAGCAGAGGCGGCGGCGGCAGCAGTAGCAACGGGCCCCCGGGTTCAGATAAGCCTCTCCTCTGGTGGCAGCTTGAGGTTCGGGTGTGGTGGCGCGCGGGCACCCACCTGCTCCTCACTGCTAGGCCGGTAGGTGCCCTCTGTTTGCCGTTTCTCACGCAGCTTCCACACCAGCAGTGCCAGCAGCACGGCAAGGACCAGGACGCCCAGGATGGAGAAGACCACAATGATGGCCGTGATGGCATCCTGGGACTGTGGGGAGAGGACAGGGTGTCTGGTGGGGCACACCGCACCTGGAGGTTCTGACTGCCCCTCTCCGGTAGACTCCAGGGCTCCTTACCCCTCCTTCTGCCCCCTGGCTGGCCCCACTCAGTTCCTATCTATCACGTTTGGGGCCCACTGGTCATACCTGGGCCCTCTATACCCCTCTCCCACATGCCACTTGAGGTGTTTCCAGAGTTCCTTGTTAAGTACCATTAAGGTGGCCCCACGAACAACAGACCAGAACCGCACCTTCTCCCACACCATCCCACCATGCTCCACAGAGCTCTTATCACCTACTGTACCCAGGCCTCCTGCCATCCCACTTGCGTGCTCACACCCCACCTGAGATCTCTGTGGGACTCCTGACACCCTCCATCTGACACACATGGTGCCTGTCCAGCTCCCTCCAGATTTTTCCAGTCTGGGGTGCCTGATCTCCCCATAGGCCATGTCTGGCCTCTCTCCCCATCCACCCACCACTGCTGGGGGTCTAGGTCCCTCCACCTGCAACATGCAGGACTCAGAATAGCTCCACTCCTCCCACACATGCCCCCTTCACACTTACTAGGCCTCCATTGGAATTAGGGTTGGTGGGTGTGATGGTGCTGTTCTCATTTCCTGGGAGTGCTAGAGAAGTGGAGAGGATAAATTAATCTCCACCTATTCCAAAAGGCTGGCAGTTGGAATCCCCTCCGACGCTTAGAAGTAGACTGGCAGTCTGCTCCCATAGATTTACAGCCTCTGAGACCTGCAGGAGGGGGGCTAATTGCTTCGCCAGTAAAATGCCTTGCCTCGGTGAAGGAGCCCTGGTCAGGCAGTGGGTGAAGTAAAGGCAGCTAAGTAAAAGGTCATCAGTTCCACTCCCCTGAAGGAAGACGTTCCTGTTCCCGTTTACAGCCTCAGAAGCCCTATGTGACTATTCTGAGGTGGAAGGGCCGGCCACAATAACAGTGATCTTTCACCCACCCCACCTTTTGCCCAGCTATCCCTTCCTTGGGAACACTTGCCCAGAAAAGAGAACAACCAAACAACAAAAAAACACAACCCAAAAGAGCTTCCCCAGCTGTAGTCTGACTTCTGGCGCCCTCATCAGAGAATGAAAAAAAAAAAAAATTTAAAAAATTGCCAGGCCTTTCTTCTGAGGCACTCTCAGCTGGACTTGAGTCACCAGCCCAGCAGGGCCCAGGGAACACTGTCCTTCTGAGTCTTCCATTGCTGAAGAGGCTGATGGTGCCACGCAGGCAGGGACCAACCAGCAAAGACCCACCAACCTCAAAAAGAAATCAGACTCACTTAAAAAAAAAACAAACCAAAAACAACTCAGAAAAAGAAATCAGACTGAGCATGTCTATAGCACAAAGTAGAGGTCCCCCACAGCACACCCCAGGCTGTAGATCTCCTTGGAAAGGTCGGGCTTATCTTTATTTCTTCTTGGGATTTGAACCTCTGACCATTTGATTAGCAGCTAGAACACCATTTGCAACACCAAGACCTCCTGTCTATACGCCTAGAAGGATCCAGACGCGCACCCCTCCAGCGGGCAGCCCTAGGCCCTTTCTGATCTAAGCAGGCTTTAGCTTTTATGACCACCCTGAGGACATTGGCAGGCCCCAGGGCTTCCCAGGTGGTAAACGTTTAAGGAAGCAGAGGGCTGCCTCTCTTTTCCCCTTGAAGACCCCAGATAGTGGGTTCCGACTCCCCAACTTTTGGTTGGCAGCAAATTCTTTAACCGCTGTGCCAGCCACCAGGACTCCATTGCAACAGAATCAGAAGGGTGGGAAGGTGGGACCCACCAAACAGCCAGTCTGGGGAGACAGCTCTGGGCTCCAGGACACCTCACCTCTACCGAGGTCCGCCTTCTATCCCTGAGCAGGCCCAGCACCCCAGCCACACCCCACCTCTCCCAGGAACCGACTCCGACTTTCCGAGAATCCCCCCACCCTCCCAGGCGCCTCCTCAACCCTCGCCCCTCTCGGAGCCCCAGGTACCCGGGGCTCAGCCCTGCCTCCCAGGGGAGATAGGGCGCCCCGCAGGTACCTACTTTGTCCCCAAGCCTGGTCCCAGGGGGCCGGCAGCAGCGGCAGGCCGAGCGCCAGGAGCAGCCCCAGGCCGGGGCTCGCCATGGACTGGGCCGCGGGGGGAGGGCTCCGGGTCCGGGCTTCAGGCGTGAGCTTCTTCTGCATTTCGGGCCGGGGGTCTCCAACCCGGCACCTGGGAGGCAGGAAAAGGAGTGAGGCCGGGCCAGAACCGGGGGAACCTGGGCGGGGGCAGAGGAGGGCGCAGGCCCCGGGCCACCGTCCCGCCCCGCCTCCGGTGCCAGAGGTCACAGATTAAAGATTAACTCGGGGTCGAGCGGCGCGGAAGAGGCAGCAGCAGCGGGGCGCCGGGGCGGGCCACGGTCGCGCCTCCCTACCTGACCTGGGCCCCTCCACAGGGATCGGCTTCTCCGCCGGGGCCCCTCGCTCGAACCCGCGGTGCGCCCGACAGCCAGCCGCTCGGACCGACTCCCAGCGGCTCCGCCCGCTCACGTGACCCGGAAAGTTTAGTCACTTACCTGGGTGAGAAGCGCACTTCCGGCTTATGCACCTGAGCCCGGGCGAGGGGCGGGGCCTTGGGGGGTGGGGCCGGGGCGGGGCTGGCGCGAGCGCACCTGTAACCACTCAACACTCTTGGTACCAGGCGGGTCCTGCCGAAGCGAAGATGCGCGCAGGTGCTAGGGGTGCAGGACAACTGTGTAAGGGGGAGGACACCTGTGTAAGGGGGAGCACACCTGTGTAAGGGGGAGCACAACTGTGAAGGGGCGGCACACCTGTAAGGGAGGCAGCACACCTGTGAAAGGGGTGCACCTGTATAAGGGGGAGCACATCTGTGTAAGGGAGGGCAGCAGACCTGTGTAAGTGGGAGCACACCTGTGAAGGGGGAGCACACCTGTGTAAGTGGGGAACTCACTTGTGAAGGGGCATCACACCTGTGTAAGAGAGTCAGCACACCTGACACCTGTAAGGGGGAGCACATCTGTGTAAGGGAGGGCAGCAGACCTGTGTAAGAAGGAGCACACCTGTGTAAGGGGGAGCACACCTGTGTAGGGGTGAGCACACCTGGGGATATCACACGCACATCTGTAGGACGGTACAGATGAGGCTTGTGAGACTGCAGACACCTGTGTGTGAAGGACTCCTGCCTGGAGCAGAGCTGCATGGGGATCCTCTAGTGACCAGCACCTGTGGGGTACACACCTGCCCTGAGCACACCTGAATGGATGTTCCCCCGTCAGCAAACCTAGGCGAGACATCTACCCTGAATCCCATCTGAAGAGATCTTCGTTGTCCATGGTTGATGGGTGCTATCAGCTCAGAACCCACCTCACCTCACAGCAGGTTTTTGGAGGTAGTAAATCTCATGTGAGGAGATTGTCTTCTTTATTCCTCAGTGAATATTACCTACCTGCCTTTGGGTTGGCACTAGGCCCCAGAGACCATTCTTAGTTGTCTAGTGCTATTACAGCAGAAATACTACAAGCTTTTCTAGACAAATTAATCTTATCACAGTTTGTTGTTGTTAGGTGCTGTCAAGTGGAGTACAACTCATAGCAACCCTATGAATGGCGGATCTGAATCCCGTCCTATCCTGTGCCGCCCTCACCATTTCTGACACATTTGAGCCCACTGGTCCAGTCACTGTGTCAATCCACCTGGTTGAGGGTCTTCCTCTCTTTTGCTGACTCTCCACTTTTTCAAGCTTGGTGTCCTTCTCCAAGGAATAGGCTTTCCTAACAACAAGCCTGAATTATGTGAGACAAAACTTTATCATTTTTACCTCTAAGAAGCTCTCTGGCTGCACCTTCTCCAAGACAAATCTATTCTTTTGGCAGTCCATGGGATATTCAGTATTCTTCTGCAACACCACAGTGTAAAGGCATCAATTCTTCTCTCACCCTTATTCACTATCTGACTCTCAGAAGCACAGCAGGGAATTGAAAAAGATCATAGCCTGGATAAAGTTCACCTTAGTCCCCAAACTAACATCATTGCTCCTGAATAATTTGAAGAAGTTCCTGATGGCAGATTTTCCCAGTGCTATATGTCTCCTGATATCCTGACTACTGGTACCAACTGTATTAATGGTGAATTCCAGTAAGATCAAGTTGGTGACAGTTCAACCTTTTCTCCATCCATAGATCCAGGGGTAATAATCTTTGTTTTCTTTATGTTGAGGTATAATCCATATTGAAGGCTGTATTCTCTTCTGCAGCAAATATTTCAAGTCCTCATCACTCTCAGCAATCAAGATTGTGTCATCAGCATACTGAAGATTATTGATGACTCTTCATCCAGTCCTGATGCCATTCTTCTTCACATAGTCCAGCTTCTCAAATTATTTGTCCAACATACAAATTGAATAAGTATGGAGAAAGGACACAACCCTGAGTGTTCCCTTTGGCAAAATCTTGAATGATCCAGGAAGCACCACAAGAGTGTGGAGGGAATACACAGAGATGCCGTACCAAAAAGAATTGGCTGACACTAAAATATATCAGAAAGGACCATATAATCAATTGGCAGCATCATGATAGATGGTGAAGAGATTGAGATTGTGAACAGGTTCAGTTTGCTTGGCTCAACACGATTGGTACCAGCAACCAGGAAATAAAATGAATTGCATTAGAAAAGTTGCCTGTCAGGGACATCTCCAGAGTACTGAAGAGCAGCGACATCAGTCTGGATACTAAGGTGCACCTGATCCAGGCCATGTTGTTTGTTGTTATGTGCTGTCCAGTCACTTGTGACTCATAGGGACCCTATGCACAACAGCCCTAAACTCTGCTCTGTCTTGGCCAATCACACTATCTCTGACACTCCCATCCCAATAACCCCAGTCACTGAATCAATCCACCTCATAGAGGGCCTTCCCCTCCTGCGCTGTCCCTCCATCCTCCATCCTACCAAGCATGATGTCCTTCTCCAAGGACCGGTCTCTTCTTACAACATGTCCAAAGTATGTTAGACGGAGCCTCAGAATCCTTGCCTCCAAAGAGCCACC